CAATTGTTCTTTAATTCTTGCGAACTCAACATGAGTTTGGCCACTCACTTTTTTTTCTGTTCCTAAACTTATGTCTGCATGCCTCAGGAACCAACTCATAGCCTTTCAGAATAACCTCTTTTACAGCATCATAAAAGGCATACTGCTCAATGCTTAATTGAGTGTAAATTACACGGGCTTTCCCTGTTAAGACACACTGTTACAATAAAGTCCAGTGCTCTTTTGGCAATTTTAAATTGTCTGCAACTTTTTCAAAATGTAAGAAAAAATTATCAACATCATTCTCATCGAAAGAAGTTACAAGTTAAATAAATTTAGCTACATCAAAAGGTTTGTTGGCTTTAATATGTGCTTGATTTGCATATTTATTAGCCCCGATTTTTTTATTTGTAAATAAAATTGACTTTCGCAATCTTTTTTCTTGTCTATTGCATTATTTTTCCTGTCTTTCGCTATCCTTTTTCCTCTCTTTCCCGTTCTTTTTCCTCAAGCTCAAGCTCTTTTTCTCTTAATAATCTTTCTTGTTCTTTTACAAAATCTTTCTTGGTCTTTGAATGAACATGAACAAATATATAAACATCAAATAAAACAAATTTATTAAAAATGATAGTGCAAGAGAGGATATCGAACCTACGTCATCGAAATTATCAGTCCTGCGCTCTACCTACTTAGCTATTCAGGAAATACATACTAGAGATATTTATAATAAAGCCTATATACATAACACATCCCCTCGTAAAGATAAAGCTTTATGAAATAAATCTTAAAGCAAATAACATAGAATATCATACACGGGATAAAGCATCAGGAATAATGTTATCTTTTCCCTCAAGCTCTTTTTTCTCTTAATAATCTTTCTTGTTCTTTTAAAAAATCGTTCTTGTCTTTTTTCTAATAATCTTTCATGTTCTTTTTCTTTTAATAATCTTTCTTGTTTATCATATTCTAATTACAACCTCAATTTACATTCCCGTTCTGTTAATTTGATTTCTTGCTCAACTTGAATTTTTCAAGTGTAATTGTAACTCAAACTCTGTTTTTTCTTGATTTTCTTAAACAATTTCTTCTTCTGCCAAACATTCAATCAACCTATTTGAAACTTCTTGTTTTCTCATATAGACTTAATTTCTTCAACATTAAAATGTTTTGCAGGACTGAGCAAATCAGACCTCTTAGCCAAAAGACATTTATCCTTGGAAGGTTCTTTAACAAGCTGTTCTAAATCAAAAGACATTTTGATTTGTTGCTGTGTTTTGCAAAGAAGAATTTTATTTTTATTTGACAGCTAAACGCCACCTATACCCAACTTTTAATAGGTAATGAACTACAAAATTTATGGCTTTAAACAAAATTCTATCCCGGACGAGCCCTCAATTCTGTTACGATCTAACAGACACGTTAACCCAGCAACATATTTTACAATGTTTTAATTTTAAAAAAAAACAGTTATTTACAAAAATACAAAAAAGAAAGTAGAGTTTAACTCACAATTATCCACGATTCAAATTTAACAATGTCTTAAAGTTTACCTCACAGTTCGAAATTCAATGGTCCACAACTCAAATTTAATCAATTCCACAGCAAAATATCAAAATCTGTCAAAAATACTTCTCACACAGATTTACGGAATCCAAACTTAAATATTACTATGTAAGCAGTACAATAGCACACAACTTGTATATCAACATCACACAATATCACAAATTAACACACACACATCGAAGTACAAACATTCACTATATACGTACTATCAATGAAAAATCTAGAATACCAAACTACTTAGAGAAAGAATATTCCAGAATGAACATGAAAAGAACTTTCTTAAAAGAAGATGAATGAAAATGAAAAATATATAAACATCAAATAAACACATTTATTAAAAAGTGGCATGAGTAGGTATCGAACCTACGACATCGAGATAATCAGTCCTGCGCTGTACCTACTGAGCTAATCAGGAAATAGATACTTAACACATTTAAAATTAAGCCTATATACATAATAGTATAAATAGTAGGTAATTAAAATATTTCCAAAACATATATAAGAATGTTTAATTTTTGCCGATTGTTAAATGATGCTCACATCTCTATTTATGTTTCATTTGATGTAGGTTTAGACCAATAACGTGTGTGCAAAATTTCAGATCAGTAAAAAAGTTCGTTTGTTTCTTCTTTTTTTTTAGCTCACCAGAACCGAAGGTTCAGGGTGAGCTATTAGTATCAAAGGGGGATGCTCCGGCGTCTGTCATCAGTAGTCATGCGTCAACAATCGTCTTCTTTGAATCAGTCGGGCAGATTTACTGTTGTTCTGTAGCATCCTTCTGACAGTCACACTTAAATTGCTCATGTCATTTCAATTTGCCCCTTTCAGGGGTCAACAGAGCTAAAAATAGAAAAACCTTTAAACATCTTCTACTACAGATCTAATTGATGGGTTGTCACCAAACATTTTGCCGTAGCATTCTTGGGAAGTCTTTAATGAAGTTTGCTCATATTAATTTGATTGGCCCCTTTTAGGGGTCTCTAGGGCTAAAAATAAAATTTTTTTTTAGACATCTTCTACAAAGCTAATGGATGGATGGTCACCAAACTTTGTCTGCAGCATTCTTGGGTAGTGTTTTATCAAGTTTGCTCATATTAATTTGATTGGCCTCTTTTAGGGGTCTCTGGAGCTTAAAATAGAAAAAAAATTTAGACATCTTCTTTAACAGAACTAATTGATGTATGATCACCAAACTTTGTCTGTAGCATTATTGGGTAGTCTTTTTTCACGTTTGCCCATTTAATTTGATTAGCCCCTTTTACGGGCCGCTTAAGCTAAACATAGAAATACCTTTAAATGTCTTCTTCTACAGAACTTATTGATGGATGATCACCAAACTTTGTCTGTAGCATTCTTATATAGTATTTTATGAAGTTTGCTCATATGTATTTGATTGGCCCCTTTAAGGGGTCTCTAGGGCTAAAAATACAAAAAACTTTAGACATCTTCTTCTACTAAGCTAATAGATGGATGGTCACCAAACTTTTTCTGCAGCATTCGTGGGTAGTGTTTTATCAAGTTTGCTCATATTAATTTGATTGGCCCCTTTTAGGGCTCTCTAGAGCTTAAAATAGAAAAAAAAACTTTTAGACATCTATTTTAACAGAACTAATTGATGTATGATCACCAAACTTTGTAGCATTTTGGGGTAGTCTTTTATCAAGTTTGCTCATATTAATTTGATTGGCCCTTTTACGGGCCGCTTAAGTTAAAAAAAGATTGACCTTTAAAAGTCTGCTTTTACAGAACTTATTAATGGATGATCACCAAACTTTGTCTGTAGCATTCTTAGGTAGGCTTATATCCATTGTGCTTATATTAATTTGATTGGCACCTTTTAAGGGCGCTTAAGCTTAAAATATAAAGAAAACTTTGAACATCATTTCCAACATAAATAATTGATGGATGGTCACTAAACTTTGTCTGTAGCATTCTTGGGTAGTCGTTTATCGGGTTTGCTGATATTGATTTGATTAGCCCTAAAGCTAAATATAGAAATACCTTTAAACGTTTCCTTCTACATAACTAATATATAGATAAATACCAAATTTTGTCTGTAGCATTCTTAGGTACTCTTTTATTAAGTTTGCTCATATCAATTTGATTGGCCCCTTTTAGGGACACTAAAGCTAAAAGTAGAAAAAACATTTGAACATCATATCCTGAAATAATTAAAGATGATCACATTTGTTTGTAGCATTCTTATGTAGTCTTTCATCACGTTTACTTATACTATATTGATTGGCGCCTTTAAGGGGCTGCTTAAGCTAAAGATAAAAATACCTTTAAACTCCTTCTACAGAATTTATAGATGGATAATCACCACATGTTGTTTGTAGCATTCTAAGGTAGTCTTTTATCAAGTTTGCTCATATTTTTTTGATTGTCCCCTTTTAGGGGCCGCTCAAGCTAAAAATAGAAAATCTTTGAACATCATCTCCTACTAACATAATTGATGATGACCACAAGACTTTGTCTGTAGCAGTCTTAGGTAGTCTTTTATCAAGTTTGCTCATATTAATTTGATTGGGCCCGTTTAAGCAAAAGCTTAAATGCCCCAGGTCATGACATTTCTTCAAATTATTGTTAAAAGATATTCTATGTTCAAATTTAATATTAGAAAATATTGACAATGGATAATTCCCAACACAGAAAAGCAGTTGTTTCTGGTGAGCGACTCAGTGCCATCATGGCCCTCTTGTTTTAAAAGGGAGTATACTTATTGTAAAAATGACTCACAATTGAAAATCATTCCATCGCTTTTGACTTAAATATGGCTAAAATAGCACAAATATACAATTTTCAATTTGTGTTCCAGTCTATTTCTTATTCATTTGTTGTGTATCTTTCTGTGTTAAGTACCTCAACTGATCTGTTTAAGAAATTCTAATTTTCTGTTTTAGGGTTTTAAAACTGCTATTTTAGCAGCCTCATTTTCCTTCTACAAATGTACTTATGTTTGTCCTGTATATACATAATTGAATGAAAACAATGATTTGACTTGACTTAACTTTGACTTTATAGACAGACAAAAAGTTCCATGGTCATTTTTGTTTACGTTATACTTTCATATTTCGAAGATTTAAGTACTTTTTGCGAAAAAAAAACATGTATTTGGTAAAACAAAATTGAAAACTTAGTAATGAAGTATCATTGTTAATGGATATTGAACTCATATGGGACACACATATTTAATTGTTTTTTAAAACATCAATTCTTTAAAAAATGTTAGGGTTTGTACTGACATTTTTATCAAGCTGCTTACAATTGTGAAATATTTATAGAAACAAATTATTTGCCAGCTTAATTTGTTAAAATTAAAAATGACATTAGATTGTTGGTAACACAATCAGTAAAGACTATGAAAATGTAAATTTATTATGCTATTACACATATGAGCATCTGTTTAAATGTTGTCAGACATTTTAAAGATGTTTTAACAATGTTTATATTTATAGCATCATCAGATGATTTTGAATTAGCTTGTGACTCTGCAAATCCTTCAGCTAAGACTAACGTAACGTGCGTTTGCCGACGGACAGTTGGAAATGGTATTCAATGGGTTTTAAATGGAACTCAGATATCAGAGTGTGTGTTTAATGATACGTGTTTGCCTACGCCTGATGGTTATACATTTTTAATAAACGTGTTTGCTTACAAGATGACAAAAATCGATTACGATTACAATGACTGTACTCAAATTAATTGCAGAGACCTTAGTAATACAAGCGCTCAGCTAATGGTAGTCCCGTCTGCTATCAGTAAGTAATGTATTTATTTATTCATCTTTGTATCTTTTGTTTGTTTGTTTGTTATTTTGTTTGTTAACATTTTCCCTGATATAGATGTGTTTTGACGGCTTTTTGCCATCTCCCCTTTTTTTTGAGGCCCCAAACAGTGAAAAATGTCCTATTTAGGCCCCAAACCCTGTTTTTCGTTCGAGAAATGTTGATAAAAAAGTGACCACTTTTTCGGCGCGGCCCCCCATTAAAATGTTGCACCAGTGGGTTACCAAAAGGAGGATCTGCCTCCTTCTGTTAAGGCGGTTTGAAGGGGGCATAAGTTCCCCTCATCGCCAAGAAAATATTGGACATGTGACAGGCTAAAACTGGCATCAGGTCGATCTTAGGGTATTTAGTAATCTCAATTCATTGATAATTTGCAGCACTTTGAAATCAGTTTTGATGGAAAAAATACAATGCAAAATAGTGATTTTTGGCAATTTTGAGACGTCCCCCTTGCCATGGTAACAGGAAATTTACGATTGAGCATGCTGTTACATGGGCTATGGTGTAGTCAACATTTATGCCAAGTTTCATCAGTTTTGAAGCATATTTTATAGTTTCATAGCAGGTTGAACTTGTTACAGGAGACTTTTCAATGACAACGACCATTTTTCGCAATATGTTCATGGGGTAAAAGGTTAATATAATATAAGCATACGATGTCAATGTTAGTTATAATTTTGTTACTATTTATAACTATTTATTTGCTTTTTTTATTTTGTGATAGTTGTTGTGAAAATTTAAGATTTCCTTTGAATAGTTTTGCAGCGTTACCTAGCTTATTAAAATGTATAAAACTATATTTCTGCTTAAACATATTAATGTTTTAGTTTTCAAAAAATATTTTCAAAATTCGTGTATAAAATAAATATGATAGTAAAGTATCTGAGAACGAGTAGCGCATCCAAAATATCGTTGCTAAACGGATAAATCCCTACTTTTAGCAGCAAAATAATGTTTTGTTCCGGAAAGTTTGTATGTGTGCGTACATACGCCTACTAAACAGTGACTCTTTCACATTTTGGTGATCTGTTTAAATGAGAGCCCTCGACACTCCCGTCGTTGAGCCATTGACCAAAACAAAGCAATAAACAGGTAAACACAGTTTGAAAAAATATTCTATTTTTAAAAAATATGCTTGTTTTTCAAAAATCGAAGAATGCTATGCCACGAAGAACATGTTCATTATCAGTTTGCATGTAATTTCGATACGAAGTACCACAAAATAACGTTGCTAGAACTTTTACCAAATATTAACTTGTGTGTTTTCTGTTACGTTGAAACACATTTTTAGTGACTTCTATACCGTTAAGTAAATGTCTAACCAATTTATCGTGCATGAAACATGATCCCAACCTACCATTTGGCTCAACACAAAAATAATTTTAAAGAGCTTGGTTAAAAATAAAATATTTACATTTATTCAAATGTGATCGAGTAATCGATACGGTGTTGGCGCCATCGGCAATGTGAAAGAGCTGTCACAAATGTGATTGAGTCAATACAAACATATAATTAGTTTCGATATTGTAGAATTATTCCGATCTATATCCATTGACTAACTAAAGAATTTTTATAAGCTTTTATGTACGTATGACTTCTAGGCTTAATGAGTGTCCATCCGCTCTTTTCAGGCACTGACCACGGACATGTTCCCATTCATGTCATTACAAACCAAAATGTGCTTGAACAAGATATTTTTGTGTATTGAACGTTATCTGCGGACTTGCGAACTAAACCATTTGTACAGCATTGACAAAAACATAGTTTGTTATTGTTAAAAGCAGTTCAAAACTTACAAATTCGAATAAATTAGGAGAAAAACCGACCAGAACAGTCACATGTCAAATTTCAAAATATCTACATGATCAGTTTATATCTTCAATAACTTTCTCAAACCAGAATCTAGGATGCTGAAACCTTTAACCGAGTGTGGCATATATATTGCATTATGGAATAGACATACTAATGAACTTCAAAACAACAAAGAAACCCACTTGCCTCGCAAAAATTCGTTCACCCGTTTCAAAAAATCACGCCGTGTTCGCCATATTGTCAAGTTTGCAACCAATTCGCTCGCTTGAACCAAGTGTGCAACCACTTCACTTCCTGCCCCTTGATTTATATAAATTGGAATGTCATTACGTTTACAATTCATATGTAAATATGCTAAAGGTGTAATTTAATATACGATGTTTTATAACCATAGTAAAATCTTCAAATATTAATCATATCATTGATTGTGTGTTTCTTTTTCCTTATTATTGATGTTGACATAATGTGTTATGTTGCGTAGGCACTGTGTCTAGTAAAAATGTCTTTGTTAAGTTATAAACCAACACATTTTAGAACAGACAATGTCCTTTCGGTCTTAATACTTTTATTGAGTTTTGTTACGTATAATTGCCACAATATTGCTTTCCGACGGTTAACATTCTTTTTGTGTTTGAAAAAGCAGAGCAAGGTATTAAGATGACGAAATATACAACTCTTATAAGAAATAAAAAGAATATAACATATCTTTATACGCCAATAACATAAGTAATTTGATGCTGTTTATTTTTATTGTTTTATTTTTTTTTTGTTCGAGGTACGAAATGATGATATTATCAAGGTTATCAAATATATCAAATGTAAAATGTGCATTGGATATAATTATTTCAATTATAATCAATGTAAGCTTTTCATTTCCTTGTCGGTTACTATTACTTTTTTAGGTATCATTTGTGTGATTATCGTGTCTGTGCTCTGCTTTGCGACCTGTCCTGTTTTTGTTTGGGGTCCTCCAGGGCTCCTTGCGCTGGTTCTTATTGCTGAGTCGTTTGGGATTTGCCTTCATTGAACGCCGCCCTTCCTTGTTGATCTTATTTATTATATTTAATCAACTCATACAATTTTGTCTATTTATGAATATTATTCGCCATATTCCACAATATCGACACTAGTTATATACTTGTTTCACAGACACTAGGTGCATGGAACTCAAAACGCCTTTAAAATCCAAATAAAATGTATATTTGTCAATCCCAGCACATGTATTGATCATATATATTCCAAAAAAAATAATAAAAGCCGTTTTGAAAAACAAATCATATTTTATTGTCCATTATAATTATTAAGATGTTGAAATATTATATTAAGTTATATATATATATATATATATATATATATATATATATATATATATATATATATATATATATATATATATAATATATATATATATATATATATATATATATATATATATATATAATATGATCAGTACATGTGCTCCACGTCCCAAGTGTCAGTGGCTTGTATTGGCTCCATCACATTTGCGAGAGCTCTTTCACGTTGACGATGGCGCCAGCACCATGTCGATAGCTGGATCACATTTAAATCAATAAAAATATTTCATTTATAACCAAGCTCTTTGAAATGTTTTAGTGTTGAGCCAAAGGTGAGGTAGGTACAATGCCACATCTAATATTATGTAGGTCACATTTACTTTATGGTAGAGGAATCACTCAAGATATGTCTCTTCGCGAAAGAAAAACACACGAGTTGATAATTGGTAAACGTTCTGAGAAAAATATTGTTCGTTGCAAAGCATCCTTCAATTTTTTGAAAACAAGCATGTTCTTTTAAATTGGATATTTTTAGAAACTGTGTTTACCTTTTTCAGCTTTGTTTTGGTCGATGGCTCTACAACGGAAGTGCGAGGGCTTTCATTTAAACAGATCACCAAAATGTGAAAGAGCCACTGTTTATTTGGCGTGGTACAATATTTATGCATGTTAAACAACAAATACCTTATCTGGTGGTGAATTTGGGATAGTTACAGTTTTTCTGTTGTTATTGTTCAAAAGTATCCCTTTAAAATCTTTCATGATGTAAACAAGTTACATCAAAGTAATTACATAATTACAAATATTAAGACAACATTTATAGCATATAATACATTATTTGAATTTGATCGCTACTTGCAGACTCGTATCAGATTTTTAAATCGTTTAATTAACTTAAAAATATTGTCATAAATTTCAGACTTTGATTCATCAAATCCTACATCGATTGCAGAGCCAGCTTTTAGTCATAATAACGGTATGTTTTCGATAACAACTGGCTGTATTTCCGGATATATGCACGTGACATGCGAGTGGTATACTTTTAATGTAAGTTATCATTTTTTTGTCAGATATGAAGACATTAAAGAGTGTTTAGAAATAACTAAATTCTCTTTTAAAGCAAAATTTAAAAAGTGATATTAAATCATATTTATTCCTAGATAACATTTACCGGTGTAATGTTCCAAAATCTTACAAACGCTAAAGAGATGACATGAATGTTCTCCTTAAAATATTTTGAAATGTGTTTTATCTCTAGGCGGGCATAGTTTTTTGAGGTCATTCATCCAGCGTGCATGGTAGTGAATCATATCATTTAATTTTTCTTAAACAATGAAATAAATGTCACGAAATCTTTATAATCTTGAAGTTTTGCAAAAGGTAAAGTAGTGTGCTGTTTAGAAAATATCAGCACTTTTAAGCTTAAAAAACTCATTTTATTTACTTTTTAATCGCCGTGCCTTTTTCTATTGCCAAATGTTTTTAAGTTCATACATCAAAAAAAAGTTTAATACTTTACGTCAAATAACCGTTGATTTTTAGTTTTTAAGTTCAAATAGTTTCTGCGCATTCAGTTTTCATTATGTAAAGGCATCTATGATCATGTGTCAGAACAGACTTGCAAGGGTTTACTAAAATAATAAAACGTTGGACCTGCTTTTTATATAACCGTTAGATTTTAACATAGTTATGATGATTTTCTTTCTGTTTTGTTTCAAATCTACCTTTAGCCATATAATATCCTGCTAAATGGTAACGATTTGCTTAAAGTGCCGGCTCCAGCCAGCCTTGCTTGTTTTCTGTAAATTTGGTTTGAGACTGAAGTCTTTCGTGCCCGAAACACCAAATCTTTAACTAAAGGATGAAAGGCCTTAATGGAAACCATAAGAATCAGCTTTTCTATTTTTTCCTTTTCGGTAGGAAAAAACTTTTAGCTCACCTGAGCACTAAGTGCTTTTCTGGTGGATGACGAAATATACCAACCCTAAGAAAATGTCTAATGTATTGTTCAAAAATATATTCAAAACCTAGTGCTTACATACTTCGCATGAAACATTGTACCAGGATTAGCCCTTCCATGCTGGGGCCATGATTTTTTTCTTTTTACATACGAAAAATTATATCCTGCAAAACTATAAGGGCTAGTGCTATTTGGCATAAAACACTGTCCCTTAGGACTTCTCTATACAGTTTCAGTTGTAAAATGAAAATTTTGTAAACCTAAATTTTGACCCAGCCATCTACTTTTGAAAATTGAGCTACAACTTTAAATTGGTTCTATTTGACAGTTTCAAATGCAGAATCGACATATTTATTAAAGGGATACTCGGGCAAATTAAGGACAAAAATATTAAAATGATCTTATGAACTCAAATCATGCAAAATTGACATTTTTCAAAGTCATAGCATGAAATTCTGTATAAATTCTATATATTTTTGATTTAATGCTAAAATATATCTATATATGTTGAATAGAATTTAGAAGCCGACAGAATCACCGAGTAGTTTTCAAACCAGTCATGTGACTTGAACAAACCCTGGGAGCTACAATAACATATAGTGTGGATATTGTATGCTTAAAACAAGTCTAAAGTCATTCATTTGACATGTTCTTTACAATTTTCAGAGTTCACTGTAGCAACTGCTGTGAAATCTTAACGCTCTAACAGGACCAAAGTGGGCCATGTTAGGAAACCGCCATTTTATTCTTTATAAAGAGAAAAGTTTTGTTCCTGTGACTGTCTAGTGTATTTATTTTGACGACATTTACAGAATGATGAATGAAAAATTTAAAACAAATGAAATTTGTTGCCTTTGTCTCCCTTTAACTGTTTTGTACTGATGGCCGAAACAAATGAACATTTCAGAGGGTTAATGCATATTTTTCGTGCATTAAAATCTGAAGAAACCAGGGGATACATTAATTGCCCGAGTCTTAAGGACTAGGGATTGGATAAGTCCGAGGTAAAATGTAAATAACCCTACAGTTTGACGCTTTGTTAAATTTTTAGTCAGATGCGATTACAAAGACACAACGTTACAAACCACGTTATAGGGCAACGCAAAATATTAGTTATATAAGTTAGTTACAGAGGAATAAAACAGTTCACAGACAAAAGTGTATTTGGAATTTGTCATTTTGAAAGTGTCAATAAAGGCTACTTTTTTAATTTAATCATTCAAAAGAAGGAAGCAGTTTATAAAAATGCATTATGGTTTTTATCCCCCATCAATCAAATCGGGAGGGGGATATTGATTTTGCGCTATCTGTCCGTCCATCCGTCAGTCCGAATTTTGTTTCCGGGCTTTTACAGCAAACACTGGCTGTAATTCAACGAAACTTAATGGGAACCATCAGTTCTAAGAGGAGATGCGCATATCGTCGCCTTGGTCCGTTGTAGCGAGAGATTAGTCAGATCCGTCGAAAAAAATGTAAGATCTCACGAATCTCACAGATCTTATTTTTTCTATAAATACAATATTTCTTTTCATTGAGTGGTATGAAAAACTAATATTTCATGAATGGCGATAGCCACGAGTGAAACAAGATAATTTTCATACCACAAGATGAAAATAAATTCTGTATAAATAGAAGTTACTTGAAGTTTCTGTTTATTATATGCATTTCTATTTTTTGACATCGCCATATGAAAGACTTAAATTTGGCTAAATATAGCAGAAAGTGGCAAGACACCAGTAAAAAATATTTCATTTCGAAACTCAATTCGAAATACATCATTTATAAGTATATAATAAAGAAACACAACATCTCCACTAAGACCTGGAAATACCATATTCCCAGTTTGGAAAGGGGTTTCATTGTGACCTTGCTCATCTTCTCTTCGCAAGGGTCTTTTATATACATTCTGCCGGGTACTTATATACCAATCAAATACCAAATATTTAAAAAATACCCAGCTTCTATCATATCTATCGAAACACAAATCAGCAAAACAACAGTACAGATATTTATTTTATCAATAACTATTTTTTATCAATTCTTAGTAAGTAATTTTACTGACTATCTTTATTGTGGGGTGATATAGTCAGTTTATAATGAAACTGACACTGGATAAGTCGTATTGCAACTTTCAACCTGAACTGGAGTAGAGACCGAAGATACCCTTAGATATCATTTCTGGTTGCACTAGAGTAGAACCGTCGATGAGCTAGTTAAATGCATTTGTAGCATTAAAAGTATTAAAATGTCCCTGGTGGGATATGCACCCTTTGGGATAATTGATTTTTTAAGACTGACCACTGACTGAAGATAATAGACTGATCCGGTGGGCTTTTCCATTTGAAATGAAAATCTGGTATTGTAACTTATACTGAATTCTTGCATCACATATTTTGTATTTGTTAAGTTCCTCTTCAAAATCTGTTTGCATACTGCACATTGTGTATCACCAGTAGAAACAGATATCCCAACAGATCTGCACCACTTCCTTTTTTCAGGTTGATGTTTCTTGTACATCATGTATTTTGCGAAAAATCCAGAAATGGCTTTTCTTTTACAAAAAACTGCTGTATAAAATCATCTTTAAAAAATTGCTTGTTTTGTCATATTTAATGTATTCACTAAAAGTCAAGTCTCAACATTCAAAAAATGTACATAAATATAAGTCTTACAATTCTCAACGGTAAAAAAAAACTTGCGATTCTTCAATAATTTGTCATTTTCGAAAATTATTCTGCATCAAGATGATCCAATATTTATAAATGAGGAATTGGAAATATGTGACAAGTATGTAAACAAGTGGTAATTATTCAATAAATTGTCATTTTTGAAAAAATATATCTGCATTAAGTTCAATATTCATCAGTCAGGACTTGTCAATATTTGACAAGCCCATATCTAACAGAAAAAAGAGGGCCAAGATGGCTCTAGATCGCTCACCTGACCAATCAAACTCATCAGGGCAATTACTTAGGCAAAGTTTGATGACTATTGAGTCAAAAATATGACCACTAGAGTATAAGCAAGGTTTTTCCATACTTGGGCAGTGTGACCTAGTTATGTGACCCATATTTGAACTCGACCTAGATATCATCAAAACAAACTTTCACACAAATTTCCGGGATATTTAAATGATAACAGTAGCCACTAGGATGTTAACAAGATTTTTCAATTTTTAACTCCTGTGACCTAGTTTTTTTATCCGAGATGACCCCTGTTCAAACTCATCCGAGCAATTACCTAGACAAGCATTCTGACAAAGTTTGATGATGTTTGATGCAAAAATGTGACCACTAGAGTGTAAACGAAGAATTGTGGACGGACGACAGACGACGGACGACTGACATTCAACGATCCTGATAGCTCACCCTGAGCAAGCTCAGGTGAGGTAAAAAATGTGTGAGGCAAACTGCCTATTTATCTAAGATGAGCATTTTTGATAGTCTTACATTCTCACGGCTAGATTTCATTGGTTTCGAGGGTCATATTCAAAGAATGCATATAAAAAATCTCCATAATATTTGTCAATAGCAGACAAACCTTTGAACACAGAGTTGTGGTCTTTGATTAGTTGTAAAGTATGCGTATAGAGTAATAATAGTTTCCGCGATATTTCTCTGCAGTTGCTGGCTGGAATTCAACGAATCTTTATTGGAACTATCAATACCAAGAGGAGATGCGCATATCTTCAACTAGTTTCTATCAGACCCTTAAAGACAGATTTATGGCCCTTGATTAATAATGCAGTATGCATAAAGAGCAATAATCCGTTCTGGGCTATTTCTCTGCAACAACTGGCTAGGATTTAACGAAACTTTATGGACACCATCTATACCAAGAGGAGATGCGCATATCGTCGCCTTGTTACGGTAAAACCCTTCAAAACGGTGTTATGGCCCTTGGATAGTCATGCAGTATGCATTTTGAGAAATTTTCGTTTCCGGCCTATTTCTCTGCAACTACTGGCTGAAATTCAAATAACCTTATGGGAACCATCAATGCCGAGAGGAGAAACGCATATCATTGCCTTGTTCCGGTCAGACCCTTTATGAGAGAGTTATGGCCGTTGATTAGTAATGCAGTATGAATATAGAGCAATAATCGTTTCCATGGGTATTTCCTTGCAAATACTGGCTGGAATTCAAGGAAACTTTAAGAACCCCATCAATACCAACAGAAACTACGTATAGCATCGCCTTGTTCCAGTCCGACACTTCAAAATAGAATTATTGCACTTGATTACTTATGCAGTATGCCTATAGAGCAATAATTTGTTCCGGGCAAATTTTAGTAACAACTGCCTGAATTCAACGAAACTTTATGGGAACCATTAATACCAAGACGAGATACGTATATCAACGCTTTGTCCCGATCAGACCCTTCAAAACAGAGTTATGGCCCTTGATAAGTTATGCAGTATGCATATAGAGCAATAATCTTTCCGGCTATTTCTCTGCAACTCCAGGCTGAAATAAAGGAAACTTTATTGAAACCATCAATATCAAGGGAAGATGCGCATATTGCCCCTTTATTCCGGTAAGACTCTTCAAGACAGTGTAATGGCCCTGTATACTAATGCAGTATGCATATACAGAAATAATAAACTCAGCGCTAATGCTGTGCAACTACTTGTTTGAATTAAATCAAATTCATGGGAGCCATTAATACCTGTAGGAGTTGGGCATATCGCCACTATGTTCCGATCAGACCCTTTAATACTGTGTTATGGCCTATGAATACTTGTGCAGTATGCATAAAGAGTATGTTGCTATTTCTTTGCATCTGCTTGATTGACTTATGGGAACAATCAATATGAGAAGAGAATGTGAACGCCAAAATAAATATATAAATAAGCCATATGTCTCCAGTTGTTGTGTAAGTAATAGGCAGTACTAGACGGGGAATATAACTTCAACGAATTGGCTTGTTTTTATTTATTTACTTATTTATTTATTCAAGTTGAATACTTTAATCAATTTAAGTTTTAATGCATTAATATTATAATGACATTAATAACATTCAGTAAACGGGCTTTTACATATGCATATTAAATGAATGTACCTAATTATGAAATCATAAAAAATAGAAGCCTGTGTATAGAATCATATAATGATTCAAAATGTACTAGAGTCTAAACAAACGCAGCATAAACTTTCCATTCATAGAAAACATATAAAACATAATACCGGCATAGCAAATCAATGATCTTTTTTGTATCTTAAAACAATAAATTATTAATTCTTTCAAATCAATAACAATCAGAACTGCTTATGCTAATATTTATATTTATTCGCCTTAAGCATGGTCAGTATATAAGTCGCATTTAAAGAGAGAACGCAAGTTAGCAAATAAAAGCCAATTGTCAAAATATCATAGTTTTATGCACTAGAAAATACTTTACACCATTAACGATCTGGTTTGAAAAATAAAGACTTTTCTAAAACAAAAAAGCTTTTACATTTAGAACGTTTTTACAAATTCTAGAATGCGTTATTATTTTGCAATATTTTTTTCATATTTAAGAATGGAGCACCAGAAGAATACACACAAGGTCAATCTGCTTTCGTTATGATCAACAAATCTTCATGTTCAAATTGCAACGAAGACGACAATGCAAAAATGACATGTGGGTTTTATCACATAGAGGCATCTGGAAATGAAACAAAAAATGTTTACTTCAGAGTTGTAGTGACTCATATACCGACCAATTTGAAATTGGAAGTAAACTCAACTAACGTTTATACAATAAAAGGTAAGTAACTATATGCTCCTTAATATAGCATGCTTATTTTTCATGGCTATAAGTTATAGTATAAATGGGGGTGCTAATCATAAGTCATTGTTCTATCCCCCTTATTTCAAATTTACGTTATTAACAATACCAATAATAAATTAAAGTGCCATTATGTCTACCCAATTGTACAGATAAAAATGTAAATGACTTGACATTTTGACATAGCTGTGTTCAATTAACATGTTATTATAAAAAGCAATGATCCAAGTGAGTAACGTAAATTTCTACAAATATCGTTCAGATATATCGGTAATTACGCCCCTTCAAAGAACTGGGGGTATATTGCTTTCCATTTGTCTGTCGGTCGGTCCGTCCGTCCGTCGATCAAATGGTTTCCAATCAATAACTAAAGAACACTTAGGCATATGAACTTAAAACTTGGCATAATGATTCGTCTTGGACAGTACATGACCTTAATTGATTTTGGAGTCAAAAGTCAAGGTCATATTGAAACTGTATGTAAAATAGGTTTCAGATCAATATTTTGACAACCCATGGGTCTTTGGCCCTCAAACTGCAAAGGTGCATTGGTATTGGCCAGTAGATTAACCTTATTGATTTTGGGGTCAAGGGTTAAAGGTCAAGGTCACATTGGAATTGTAGATTAAAAAAGTTTCCAATCAAGAACTTGACAACCCATGGGCTGATGACTCTTAAACCTCTGAGAAACATTGGTCTTGGCCAGTAGATAAACCTTATTGATTTAGGCTCAAGGGGTCATATGGCAAGGTCATATTGGCCTTTGACCGCAAAATGCATAGGCTAGTAGATGAGTCCTATTGATTTTGGGGTCAGGAGGTCAAAGGGTAAGTTCACAATGACTTATCAATAACTCAACAACCGATGGGCGCTTGATCTTAAAGGTCCACAAATGCATTGTTTTTGGTCAGAAGGTGACCTGAATGGATTTGTCGGGTCAAGAGGTCAGAGATCAAGATCACACTGACCTCCTATATGATCAATTGCTCAACAACGCATTGGCCCTTTACCTTTCAAACTTCACAGGTGCATTGGTCTTGGCCAGTAGATAACCCCTATTATTTTAATGGTCAAAGTCACCTTGACCTTTTCCGTAAAAAAACGGTTTCTGACTTATAACTCAACGACTCAAGTTGCCTTGGTTGATATTTTTATTTAACTAAATTAAATTAAAAATTAAAAAAAAATATTTTGGTATACATATTTCAACGGCTAATGTAATATAAAAAATGGCAGTCATTAAGGAGGCCTACATAATTCATAAAATTTATGAATATATCATTTGGGAAGATTTGTGATAACTTTATATAATATAGATCTTTTTTGTATTATAGCATTAAAAATTCTTATTATCAATCATAGGTCCGTCACCATAATAATGGCAAATCTTTTGAAAAAAAATCTTTTTTTATAGATAAATTTTATTGTACTTTAAAAATATATGTGAATTCAACTTGTGGTAAACCTCTGTAACAAGTGTTAAAAATCATTTAAAAAACGATACACGAATTCCATTTATATTTTACGGAAGCGTTCTATTGACAATTCATTATGTTCATTAAAATATATGTAACCTAATTTCGAGTTTATAACTCCTACGTAGGAGATGCAAAATTCTCATTTGGAGTTTAAAACTCTTACAGAGGACTTTGAAGCTCCTAGGACCTTTCAACTCTTACGTAGGGGATAAAAAAAGTCTAATTATGAGTTTTAAACTCCTACGTTTGACTTTTAAACCCCTACTTAGGAGAAAAAAAAAACCTAATAATGTGTTCAAAAACTCGTACGGCTGACTTTTAAACCCCGAAGTACGACTTTGAAAACTCCTACGTAGAAGATACTAAAAGCAGTATTCGGAGTTTAAAACTCCTAGGTAGGACTGTCTAAGTCCTACGTAGGAGAATAAATAGTCTTTTTTGGAGATTAAATCTCCTACGTAGGGCTTAATAACTCCTACATAGGACTGTATCTTTCCTACATAGGCGATAAGATAATCATACTATTAATCTGCTACAAAGGAGACTACGTAAGAATTAAAAATACCTACGTAGGAATTACAAAGTCTTACGTAGGAGTTTTAAAGTCCTAATTTTGATTTTTGTTTCTCCTACATAGGAGTTCTTAAGTCCTACGTAGGAATTAAAAGGTCCTTCGTAGGAGTTTTAACTCCTAATCAGGCTTTTGTTTCTCCTCCGTAGGAGATATAAACTCCTAATTAGGATATACATTTTTATTTTGTAACATTTTGAAATTGTACTTGGACGCTTCCGTAATATTAAGAGAAGAACAGCAAACACAACGTATAAATATCAAAAGAAATTAATTCGATCACAGAATATTTTAATGTAAAGCTAAACAAATATAGACAAAAATAGGAAGCAACACTATATTATTTTAATAAGACAACACATCTTAAATCGTAAAATATAGAAACAATTTCATCAAAGTTTGTAATAAACAATGAAATTTCAAAGGAAATAACGTGATCAAGTATCATCTGTTTTGTACAAACGACAGTTAAATCATGATGAAATACCGAAATTATTATTGTCCATTCTCGGAAAAAAATGTATTTTTTATGTCTATGTATTATACACTCATAAGTGTTGTATGTTAAAGCTATACTCTCACACAAAACTGGTCTACAAATCATCAGCATATTTGTATACAGTTATGCATAGAAATTAAATTTGCAGTTTTCACGACATTATTAAGACATAACGGTTGTTAGCTTTCACTGACCACAGATATGACAACCATTCTATCATATGATAATATCAATTTTCGACTGTTGCGATTCTGGCGCAGGAAAAAAGGCACACGTGAAGAAGGTGACGTCAGGCTTACAACTGCTTCGCGAACGCTTCGAAAAGAAACTAATTTAAAAGTTAGTTGTCACTTTCACCAATTTTAGAGAAAAATGACAATTGAATAAGAAATATGCAATTAAGAACAATACGCAACAGTTAACTTTGATGTAAATTAATTAATTTGCGGAAAGATAAAACCAAATTGATACGGTAGATCTATATCAGCCGAAATTTGTTGGTGTTATAGGATACACGCATTTTATAACACGGATAAAATCCAGTATCTTACTGGTTAGCATGCAATAAATTTCACAATGGGTCATCTACCTTTACAGTCACCATTTACCCGAAGTATATGTTTTGTTTATATTTGTTGTTTTTAATCTCAAATACCAGCGCAATATTAATATTGTCTATATTATCATAGGATCTTGTGACGATGTGACTAACCGTGCGTTCAATGCTTGCAATACTAGCTTTTGTGATAAGACAATTTCATTATGCAAGCTTAAGGTTTATCCATCCTAATTTATTACCTCCGATTTTAAATGTATTTAAATAGGATAGAACTACTGTTAGACACATTGAAACTTAGGGTTGAGTATCAACGACCAGAAGGTCGACTTTTTTCTTTTAAGACAATTTATGTATCCCTTATATCCCTTTTGGGAAGAAAAATGTTTAATTTTAATTACCTTATTAATATAGGAATGAGATAACAAATATGGTACCTGATATTTTCAAAGATTAATAAAATCAAAACTAGACGGTTAAAGCATTTTATATTTTAAAAAATCAATCAATATAAGTCGCATGATTAATTGCAGAAAAACACCATTCATTGTGAGTACTCAATTAAATGCATGTACATAAAATATTCACATATATCAACTTAATAACTATGGGCTAATTTTGACTTTCTTGTTTTGTTGCAAATGTTTTCATCTCTCTGTATACATACAATGGACTGTACAAGAGTCTGATTGAGAAGAATATCGAGACAAAACAGCAAAGTTGCAAAGTTTTCTGCAATACAGACGTATCTAGACTTTTGTTAGCCACAACAGTTCAAAGTGTCATATAATAGTGTTTCTTTACTTTTTAAATTAAAATAGAAAATAAAACAAAATTAATCGCTTTTTACAATTGTTTAAGAAATCATTTATAATAAAAATAGATATTGGACAAAAATCCCGTGGTCCAATCTTCAACCGTCTGCGCCCTACAACCACCAATTTAAAATCAATCTCATGACATTTTGTCTAGATGGCGACCGAGTGCTAAAGTTTTAGGTTAATATTCATGCTCAAATACAGGGATTATCATTGATGTTGTTCGATTAATAATGTAGTAAGCTATATGCGACGAATTGTTATTAACAAAATGACAACAACAATATTATGCTCATATGGCCGTTTCTTAATTTGTGTAATAAAGAATGTCTAAGTAATTTAATATCATTATGGATATTGTGCATATTAAACAGAATAAAATGACCCGGAACAAAATGTTCAGCATTTTTTTTTAATGGCGATGGAATCATGCATGCCCCCACATACATTCTATAAGTGTCTTTCATTCTAGTATGTGTTCTGTTATCATTGTACTTACAATATAGTTTTCTACAGATAGCAAACATATAGCTGTATGTTTATTAATTTAATTGGGGCATTTTTAATTTCTGCTCAAAGCATTATAAGAAAACAATAAAAGCGTATCAGCAATGTCTTTATACAAATGAGAATCAATGTATCTAAGTTCTGGCATATTTATTGGTAAGCTTTCCTTTCGGCATTGACTAAAGCGTAACCGTCCGGTAAAAGTATAAAACGACAATTACGTAGTACTGACCTTATGAAATTTTTGTGTTGCCACGCTTCCCCTTAATATTCATTTTTTACAATCAGACAAGACGGGCTTTCTCAAGGTTTTTAGCGCACATATGTGATGTTAAGTCATTTAATCATTGCGTAAAGCTCGCTTTTAATTATTATACTATTCGTTGTAAAATGTACTCTTTGCCATCAGTTACTTTTATACTAAAGTTTAGCACTAGAGAACTTATTATCATCTCATTAAAATATTTATTTTTTTGTTATCCAAAGATAGCAATGATGTTATAAGATAAGTTGGATTTTTTTTATTTGGGTGAACAATATGTTTATGTAA